CGGGGAGGGCGCTGCGCCGAGGCTGCGGGGGATCGGGGAGAGAAAAGTGGCCCCCAGCGGAGAGGTGCCCGCCCGGGCAGAGGGCAACCGGGCCGGGCGAGGGGGCTGCACGCGCTCCTAGCCCTCTTCCTCGGCTGCCGTCCCCGCCATGCTAGACCCGGCATTGCTGTCCAGCTGCCTCAATGTTCGTTTTAACAAGCCACCACAATTGCTTCCCTTTTCCTTAGCTGTGTTGCCCGCCCTCACACCTCCCTGGGCACGCAGAAGAGAGCCTCGGATCTTGCACACTGGCCTCCTGGCACCTGGCTGTGGCTCACTGCAGGATGGAAGTGTGTCTAGAGCTCTCATGAGCTGTGGACATTAAAAGATTTCAAGGACATTTCCCCCCATTCATCCCAGTTATGTCCCCTGCTAAAATAGGTTAACGGTGTCTAATTAACCACTGCACATTGTCATGCTGCATAAAGATAGCATCCTGGCTGTTCTCTGAGCCCTGCTACTTTATCTCCATTTAGATCTCCGTGGTAGTGCATTAAATGAGAAAGAAACAGTTTAACAGAGATGATGTCTACATCAGAACTGCCTTTCACCCTTCAGCACAGGAGTTGAAGGCAGCTCCGAGGCAGCTCAGCTGTACATTAAGGGTGTTGGGGGGGAAAGCCTCGGTTTTGAGGTTTAACCCCCTCTCATTAATGTGGAGGGAGGATTCTTTCTGGCCAGAACTGAGCAAAGACAACACTCAAGAGCGAGATCAGATCTATATCCTCTGCCCCAGGACACAGCTAAGTGAGAAATAGGTATTCTGTACTAGGAGTTACATTACATGGGGTTACCTGGGGTCTGTCGGGGTCTTCTGCCCAGTTTCTCAGCTATTCAACACCCTGAAATAGAGAGGGGGTTGGCAGCTGGCCAAAGCCAGAGGAAATATTCTGGGATTTTGGTTATGTTTGGGAGCACAGACAGCCTTGCAGTGAAAGGGAGTTTAAACGGAGCGGTCCAGGTGATGGGGTTGTTCTTTGGCCCTCCAGATGCAATGGGCTTATCAGAAGAAACGAAAGGAACAGAGGTATCGCTGTCTCACAAAAACTGGGGGTGGCTGGTGTATAATACAGCAGGCTGAATGCATTTCTGAGCACTGCTCCCAGGATTGTATTGTTTTGTTTGCCCTTACTTGAGTGGGTGTATCTATAGTCCATACATAATTGCTTGTTTTGTAGGCACTTGTTGCTACCCTCCCTAGGCTGTGCCTGCTGCTGGAGCAAACAAACCAGGGCAGTGCACTTCTTGTTGCTGAGAACGTGAGAAAAGAGTAGGAAATCTGTCTATGCTGGCTTGAGTTTACAGTCTGGTTTTTTCCATGTCTGCTTTCACTCACCACTAGAAAGCTGTGCCCATGTGGTGAATGAAGAGGATGCTGTGTACCCAGGCCTGATATTCCTGAAGGATGAAATGTTGGTCTCAACATGTTGCAATTGGCATTGATATGCTGAGCCAGTTCTCAGGAAGGGTGCTTAAATCAGTGTGATAACTTCATGAAGAATGCCTGCGGGGCTTCCCATAGCACCTGGAGAGCAAAGAGACAAGCAGGTGACTGGTTCTGCAGGAATAGTATCTCCATGTATAGCTTGGCCCTCGGCTAAGCTTATGGAATGGACAGGGTTGGAGGTAGCACACCTTTTGAGGATCTGTTATGACTTCCCTTACTGCCTTGAAGGTTTTTGACCTTAGGACACAAGGCAAAGCTTGTCTTTTGTTAGGTGGATTTAAGTAATGCAATTGGGCCAAAAAAGCAAAAGATTAGTCAGGAACAAACCAAAAATATTTTGTGATTTTTTTTTCCAGTCTGAACAAGGAATGGAAAAAGTAATTTGGCATCAAATAAAATGAAAGGAAGCCTTATAAAAAAAGAAAGGAAATGGTAGGCTGGTTGGTATCTTCTTTACCTAACAGCTCAATCATTAAGGCCACAGAGAGTGTAAAACATGCAATTCCTTCCTGTGCTCGAGAAGTTTCATACTATATTTCCAGGATAGTTCTCTACCTGTGAGCTTATCAGCTGGTTTGAAATGCCAGTTTCATCAAATAATGCTATTCCAAATCATATATTAACAACCATATCTAGTACAGGTGACTGGAAGCAGATGTCTCACCTAATCAGAACAACAGTCATTTCTAGCTCCTGCTCTAGTGCCATTGGTATTCAAATGCTCTGTATAAACCACAGTACTGTCAGCATGAGAGACTGGCATCACCCACTGCCACCTTCGGACCTTGTGGCATAGGGACTAGGGTGTTCTCCTGCGGGGGCTGACCGTGGGGCTTTAGCTTGCCCTAGGGAGAGGAAGGAACTGTCTTGTTTGACAGGAGAGTGTTCTAACGCCTGGGCTCTGGGATTGAAGGGGTCAGTACTATTCTCCCCTCCTGGTTTATGAATTTGTTCCCCAAATTTCTATTTTTTCCAATATAGTGCAGCTATTTCATAATGAAATATTTGCTTATTGCCCTGAATAAGTCCTTTCCTAACACAACAAGGAAAAGTTGAGAAAGCTTTCAGTCTCAGAACATGAGTGAAGTAGTCACTGCCTCTAGGACTAACATATGACTGCCTTCCCTGTGGGCCACCTGGATATCTGTCATAACAGGGAGCTCAGGAAAAAGAAACAGAAATTGCTTACAGCGATAGCAGGAGTGACCCTCTCCTGGGAAGTATAAACATGTGGAGTGTTTCACTTCTACCTGGGGACAGGAGATGAGCAAAGATGTAAGGAGTGTGAGTACTGAGGAATAGAGTGTTATTTGGTGCTGGACAATTATCAAGAGTAACAGGATCATGCTAACAAAAGGTTAGATTGAACCTTGAGGAAATCATCGCACTGTTCAAGGCTGTGCAAAGCCATCATTCGGGATGTTTCAGCTCAGTGAGGGCAAGGCTCTGAAGACAGGGTGTGGGAAGCAGTTCTGTGAAGGCAGAAGGGAGGGATAAAATAGGATAAATCTTGCGTCATCTTTCCATCTCTGTCTGTTCAGATTCTAAACTCCAGTGAGAGCTGGTGGAGGGCTCTCTGAAGCCATCCCTTTCTTTCTCCATAGTATCAGGGGGTTCACAAGAAGTGCTTTGCCCTAGCACTGGGGAGAAGGATGGAGCTGGACAATTAGTCCTCAGTGGAAGAGCTCTTTCCTAAATTCCCCATTGCACTTCTGCCTCTTCTGATGAACAGAAGGGTGCAGATATAGCTGAAAGCCCAGATGCAGATGTCACCTACATGGCTGCAGTTATGATTATAGCAGTGGACATTACTGGGCTCAGATCACCGATTCAGCGTAATCTTTAGCTTCTCACAGACTGCAAGCTCCAGGGAGAGCAGTGGAGACAAAGGGCTTTCTTCTCATAGCTAGATATCCTCTGTGCCCTGCTCCTTGCTCTTAGAAGAATAGATTAATCACAGGAGAGCTAGATGAGGACCATAACCTGCTAGAACAGAGAGCAGATGAGGAGAGGCCTGTCCCATCTCATGGAAGTGCTTTGAAAGGAGAAGGGCAAGGCAATGAAGCAACTTCTCTTACATCTTGGTGTGTCTTGGGACAGTGCATGTGGTAGGGGAGAGACCCATATATTCTTTGTCATGGCACCCTGACTTCACGGGAGGGAAGAATATTTATTCCCAATGCATAGAGATGAAACTTCACTCTGCAAAATGGCCAAAGCAATCAGCGAGTGATGGAGTATCTGCTAAAAAGAAACCTGGCATTTAATTAACTTTTCAAAGTGCTGGTTCAGCAACCTTCATGTTTTACATTTTGAATATTGAACAAGCGTCCCTAATCGGGACTGAATTACTTCTGGGCTTGCTGGGGTGGAGAGCAAGGGAGCTGCCATTTGCCAGTGCCTCCCCGCTACGTTATTATTATGAACTCCTGTTAACTCAGCCAGATCAACCCTGATTTACTGCAGCAACAGCATGTCTGACCTGAACTTGGCCAGCTCAGGTGGGGCTCCTGACCTACAAAGGCAACCAGATAATCTTTATGCACAACCAGAGGGAGGAAGAACCTGTTGATCTCTCAGGGGTAGGTAGACAAAGCATAGCATCTTCTTCACTCCTTAATGTGCCGATCTTTCTACTCAGATAAGGCAAGCTTTACCTGCAGCTGATGCAGAGGGGATGAAAAAGTATCTGAGAAGCTAAAAAAACCAGGGAGTATGGCTCTTGCTGTATCTGGGCATGGCTGTCTTTTTGGACCCAGATGGTTCTGCTTCAATCTGATGCACTCAGGGACTTTTTGATGCACTGGTTTAATGGTCACTCAGAACTCTTTAAAGGTGCGATGTGTTATATCAGACCTGGTGTAGGAACTGTTTTGCACAATAACAGTGATATAGGGAAAGGTGCAGTTTTTTAATTTTCTTTAACCTTTTCTAAGCATAAGCCTTTCCTTGTCTTGCAGGTCAGGAAGAAAGCATGCAGAAGAAGTAGAAGAGTAAGTTCCCATTGTTGCTGAGACTTCTTCCACAACTTTTACATCTGATCTCATGGAGAAGGGACATGCGATTCTAAGCACCAGTACACCGAGAACCGGAACTTGGGAAGGGTGCAGAGCCTGGCATGAATTCATGTCATGTGTCCTGGGATGGGGCAGGGCTGGTCATTCTATAGTTCCCTGGATATGGAGTAGCTGTCTCTGTCACTCTCCTATGACAGAAAGAAGGAAAAGTAGAAAGCATCCGCTTTCCTCCCAGACCCACTCCAGACCCTACTGTCTGCAGCCTAGGGGTTTATCTCGGGTACAATGCATCTTGCTTAAGCACTCTAAACTGAGGTTTCTGCTGAGTCCAGCAATGAGGGGTATAGAAGAAGGTCAGTCTGCAGGCTAAGTGTACCTGGGAACTCTCCCCTTGACAGGCCGTGAGACTTGTGGGGTGGAAGGGGACACAACAAGATGCTTTTCTGGGCTTGCAATTGAAATTCTTTCTTCCTTGTGTTTTTCTGCAGCCATCGTCTCAGACAGCAGAGCCTGGAGGCATCAGATGATGGAGGAGGTAAGGTATCATCTACTTGACCACAAGAAGTGCCTTCATGCATGTCTGGGGGTTCTCCAGTAAAGTGAGCAGAGGCATCTTATAAGAAAATGCAAGGAAATGAACCACCATGGGGGTAAACAAATGCGGGAGCTGCTGACGTCTCCCCAGCTGCTGAATGAGGGAGAGAGAGCAAAGGAGATGGAGAGGAGGATGAGGAAGTGAACCTGTAGTCTAACTCTGGCTCTTCATTAACACAGAATGATAAAGCACCTTTAGGAAAAAGGAAAGTATCGAAGACACGCTTTTCTCTGGGATTACCTCCACATGGAGAATAGTGGACTGGGGCAAAAAGAGAGCTAAAAGAGCAATAAAAGGTTAAGAGCAGAGAAAGAAATCACAGCTGTCCTCTAGTTTAGGTGATAGTATGCTCTACTTAAAGCCTCTCTTATGTTTTATGGTAACATCCTTTTCTTGTTCCCATCAGGACAAGTGCCTGCACCACTCTCCTGGGGTCTCTGTCATGAGGCAATACTTAACTTAAAAAATCCGCTTGCCCTAACCCGAGATCATAGATCATAGATCATAAGCTAAACATAGGCACTGGTGGGTAATCCCATCCCATCCCTGTACAGGCTGCTGTGAAAACTACTGGACTCCTGACTTAGCACTAGTTTTCTTTATAGTGTATATCACCTGCTCTTCTAGGACTGGATGAGCCAAGAGAAATCTCAGGAAAAATCCACAGTATGAATTTGAGATGAGCACTAGAGAACTGTGGGGAGCATAGAAATTCATTAAAGTCTCTAGGAGCTACCTCAGTTTTCAAGGGCTAAGAATGTTATACAGTGTATGAAAAGTTGCATCTGTAAAATATCACCAGCATCAGAAGAATTACCAGAAGTCACAAAGGATCAGACATCAGTATGGTTAATGAGATTAAATGAAGACTTATTTGGGCCTTCCAGACAGATTAAGCATTGCAACATATGACTGCCAGAAGTGGCACCTTTATAGCATTGGCATCTTCAGAATAGAGTTAATTTTCCCACTGGGAAGTTTCTTGGGCTTCTTAAATTTCCGCTTATGTCACCGAGGCTGATAGTCTGTTCTGAACAGCTCTTTGATTGTTTGCATACATGCTGTCCTTCTTGTTGAACCTTGGTCTTGTATTCAGAGTATAACAACTGTCTTTGCTAACCAGGCATAAAAATGCTTGCCACATGTTTGCAGCATGTGACTTTTAGTGCTCCAAGACCTTACCAAGGGTAATAAATACAGAATAGAATTGATGCAGAATGTGGTATGAAGACGTGGCAAGTCCTAATACACTTCACTTATTTGTCTGTGCCTAACCTATGATTAACAGTTGAATTTGGATTGTTTGCAAACCAGAGTTCAGCTTTGGATTATATCTATGTGTTAGAAGAAAGATCCCACTAATCTGATTATGGTTCCTACCCAGGCAGTTTCTGGTACAGTCAAATACACTGGGTTGTGGATCTAATTTGCATATGGAAAATCTCTAAATGGATCAGTGCATTGCATGCTTGTGGTCCTATTTCTACAGGGAGATTAAGCAAGCTGTTCTGGGAGAGAAGTTTTCCATGTGGGCTCAGCAATTGCAGGGAAGAATAGTGACATATAAACAAACTCCGGAACCTGAATAAAATTACTTTTTTGAATAAGCAGAGAGATAGGAGTAACTGCCCGGTGTAGGAGGCAGGGAGTAGCATGCTGTGGCTGTGCAGTAAGTTGAGCTGTATCAGCCTCCCCTTCGCACAGAACTGCACTTGGGCTTGTGTCCTTAACTGTAACAGTAAAGCTCAGATTCTAAACGTACAAAAATCAAGACATTGGTGTTTGGATCCCCAAGGATGGGTCACGGTTATTTTGTGCTGCATAATGTGTCAGCTTGTACACCTTAATATGAACAGGCGCAGTTGCGTAATGATTGCTCCTGTCAACCAATACATTTGGATCGCCTTCCTTTAACCTATTAGAAAGCTGAGCTGTACCATTCCATTAACATTATTTGTCCCCCATCCAACCTTTTCATTAGAAGAATGAAGGACAAAACTATATGCCCTTAAAAAGGTATTCCTGTGTATTTGAAATGTGCTCAGTTGTGATAATTTATACAGCAGTAACACCCAGAGGCTCAGAATTTGGAGTCCATTGGAGAAGGTGTTAAAAAAGCATAGGGCCTGGAGAGAGCACAGTTTGGCATGTGGAGAATGGAAGGAAGAATGTACAGCCAAGTGGAGACTTTTGGGCTTGTTATGCCTTGTAGTTTCAGAAATAAAAGTAGAATGCTCTCACTGCTCTGGCCATTCATGCTGTGCATGAAATAGCATCTGATTCCTCATCTCCATGGGAGTTTGGGAGAGAAGGACAGCTGCTTCTCAGGTTGTGTGGAAAGACTGAAGTAATACGGGAAATCATAAGTGGGTGGACCAGGCAGGGACATGCACGGAACTATCTGCAATTTCAGCCATTCCTGCCAGTTGTGCAGAGAAACCCAGAAAGCGCAAGACATCCATACTGTGCAATATAAACCATTGAAATACTAGCAGTGAAGTACCTTGGCTCAGGTCGTGCTCAGAATTCATTTTCTATAATCCATATTTCTTCTTCATAGAGGCTAGTCCAGGACAAGAGAGACACTTTAAAGAGGAGCCAGTTTTGAGTTACAGGAAAGCAAAGACATGTGTTTGACTAAAAGCACCATTTGCTCCTGTAAAACTCCAGGCTGGAAAGACTGTTTTGAAAATATGCAGTGTCTCTCCAGAAATAGCTCTGGAGTGTCTAGTTGATGGATATGGAGGTTTCCTAGAGCACCCGCTGTGAGCTTAGTGCCCATCCTCCATGTACCACACTGGTCCATGCTAGTACACAGGCATAGCAAATGGATAGTGCACCTTTGCTAGGTGGATGTCTGTCCAGCTGAACCTTGTCATGGGGGGGCTCAGCTCCTCTGCATGGTGGTAAACCTGCTTTAGCAGGATTTAATGCATCACAACTCAAGGAATAATAAACCTTCACAAGCAACACAAAAGTGTTTAATTCCTAAAGGACAGGCCTAGTTGAGTCACTTTTGGCCAGGGGCAATTGGGGGCTTAATGCTGTGTATGTAGCAATCTGGGCAATCTGCGAGAGAGGAGTTTAAGGGTAATTGCTCAATTTTCTGTCCATGTCAACAGGGGAAATGGGCAGCAGTGAGCTCTGTATGGCAGGGAAACTGCATGAGATGGGAGATGTGAGACTATCAGTGGAATTTAAAATGTGCTATCTGCAGAGCACTGCTTCCTTTTCTGTAGCAGCCAAGAACTCCCAAGCGCAGACTATTCTTTGTCATGAGGTGGGAGGGAAGACAGAAAAAACAAATTCACATTGAAGGGCTTTCCCCTCCCTTTGCTCCTTTCTCCATTAGGGCAGTAGAGTCTGCTTCGACTTTGCTTAGGTATTTCATTTGGCTTTACTCTGCTTGTGTGTCTTTTTCTGGCATGCAGCTGCAAAGGGCTGTTTCCTGTTGGGATGAGAAATGTTGGCATTTCCTGCCCCCTTCCCCGCCCCCATCAGCAAACTGCTTTGTCCTTTTGGCTAAAAGTTTCTTTGTTGTTCATTTCTTGTCCACCAGTTCTGCACTGCTGAGTTGCACTCCCCCAGATGCTTGTCTCCTCACTACATTGCCCTTGGATTTTTCTCCTCAGCACTCTACAGGGGCTTGTTAGCTAAGGTTGTCATCTCTCTCTCAGCTATCCTTCCCCCATAGACTATTGCCCCATCTTCAGAACTCCCTTCCCCCCCGTCTTTCTGTTACCCTTGGGATGCATAGCTCCTAGAACAGAGCTTTTCTTGGAGGATTGGGATGTGATGTGTGATTCTCAGTCTGCAGGAACAAGGGCTTGTTATTTTAAAGCAGATAGTGTGTGTGAGTGAGACAGCTGATTGAAATGAAAGCCTGACTATGCTACACAGACAACCCGAACCTGACCTGCAGGTGAGGAAAGCTGCCAGGAGACAGTCACTAGATCTGTGCCCTCAAGGCAAAACCCCTTCCTGCCTGCTGGGAAGCCTCCTCAAGGAAGCAGAGCTGACGATTAGACCTCTCTATACAATGTCAAACCTCTAGAAGGACTTCTTACCCTTCTGGCGTGTGCTGGCAGCTCCTTTGCATTTGAACAGGATGGGAGTCCAGGCTCTGTGCACAACAGAGGAGGAAGTGGGCATATGCCATGGTCCCCACATCCTTCTGCGGAGTGATGTCTGTCTGTCAAGTGGGAGACAGCCCTCACAGGATAGCCGGCACCTGAAATTTACAGCCATAAAATATCAAACACCTCTTGAGCCACATGCAAATACGCACCGATGATGAAATTGCTCCAAACAGAGCTGAAAATAGAGTGCAGTGTGGGTTATTGTTGGCTTTATCATTCCTGATAAGGTTTGCCAGTTGCTTCCCTGGTGAGCTGCTGTTTTTACAGAACACACCAAATGCTGGTGGATTCCAGGGGTAATGAACTGCAAGTACAGCTGCATTGGCTGAGCATGAGGGTAAGAGAGGAGGGAACTTGCAGGAACAGTCAGGGATATGGCCGGTGGGTACTTCATAGGCTCAGGAGGCAGTGGTGGAGTGGTTTGGGGAGGGCTAAATGGAGGAAAAGTTCTGAGCATCCGTGAAATGGAGACAGAGTGAAAAACATGGTGTTTTGGAAGTGGTGTGAATGGGCCAAAGAGAGGGGTCTGTGGCAGAGAGTGACAGTGACTGCTGAGTTTCTGGGATTCTGCACTGTGACTTTGTGTGTGGCTCTGTCAGCACACTGCAGTCCTCCCCTTGGCTGCTGCCCTAACGCGCTACCCCAAGTCTGCGCAAGGTCGGTGAAGGGCAGACTCAGCCCCACCTGATGGTTTCCACTGAGCTGTTGGTTCAGGCCAGTTTGAACTCCTCCAGTGACTGCTGGCATTGTGATCTAGACCCTCTGGTGCTCAAGGAAAGCTCCCACCTGACAGCCACAGTG